GAGTTAAGAAATCACCCATTTGAGCAAGCAGAACAGAAAAGTAGAGATCTTTATGACGGCGGGCAAAGATATGTCCCACCCACAGAAGAAGCTAGTGTTAGATTGTACAGGGATTCTCTTTATGAGAAGGAAGTAGATCCTTTTAATCCTAAAAGTAGGGGTTACAGCCCCACTAAGTATGATCAAGGAAAAGAAAGTTATGGCAAATTTGATGCACATCCAAGTTCATATTATAGGCAAGCTCCCAAACTTAGTGAACATGATAGGGTTCCTCCTAGACAAGACATTGAGAGAGAACCCATTGAGAGAGAACCATCTCATGTAGGCTATCGAAACACCGGCATCACACATTCACCAGTGCGACAACCTCAGCAGGGAAAACATCAAAATGGTAGCACTGGTCTAACCTATAGTTCTTCACAAATACCTGTTGGGCAGGATCCTGAATTAAGTAGGGAAAAAGCAGCAGTTAAGAAAGAACAAACACCTTACAGAGAGGAACCAGATCTTTATTCTAAAAGAGATGAGAGGTCTAAGTTTAGGCAAAAAGAAATGCCCAGCTATGAAAGTCGTTTGTTTACTCCACCAGGATTAGAGCAACAGCTTGGGCAAAAACCTAAGGAATTTGACCATCCTTTTTATAGGGTGCCTGTATCCAAAGAATCTGCTGAGACTAAACCTAAAAGACCTGTGTCTGATAGCTTCACCAAGGTACCTTTTTCGCCAGAAAGTAAGCAACAGAGACCTTTATCAGATAGCTTTACCAGTTCTAGAATAGAGTTCCCTCTTTCACATAAGCCACCACCATCTGAGTACCGTAGGAGAGAGTTTGATGGTGTCCGTAATGAGTACATCCAGACAACAGTTCCAAAGATGTGTACTCAGTCTACTCAAACTGAAGAACAAGAAATGTACTTCCCTCCAGCTAAAGTTAAAACTCCTGTGATTGCCAAGTATTCAGCTAGCTCTCCTAAAACAGAAAATGTTCCTTATGCTGGGCATATTTCACCAATGATTGGTAAGGTACAAACTAAACAAGAAGTGACCCCAATTAGTCCTTCAGAAAAATCCGCTCAGAGTACCAGTGATTTACTTAAGAGAGAATTTCCTTCAAAGCCAGTCACTGCACCTTCTAAGGTTCCAACTTGTGGGGCAGCAGGTAAACCAGCTGTTCATGAGTCACATAAAGTAGGTGGAGATAAAGATGCAGTAATGAAGGAAAAGGCAAGTGTTCCAACGTACAAGTTTGGATATAAATCATTGGAAAAAAATTTAGACAAGTATCCCCCATTGTTAGATACTGGTCCAGAAAAGTATGGATTTGATGGTTATGAAACATATGCAGAATACAAGAAGAAGCATTTTTTAGGGGAAGGAGAGACAGGGTTTGAGCCCCAATACTCTGGTGTAACATCATCAGAGTATTCTGGTCCAGATTCTGCCTCGAAGAACAATAGCACCAAACAATTACCCTCTATTAATAATGACAGGTTTGTGACTATCACAGGTGTTACTAAAGATGGCAAACCTGTATCTTTAAAAGGTCGGAATATTTCTAGTCAGACTGACCTCAAAGATAAATTAGATGAACCTGTTCAGAAAGATGTTCAGCCACAAACTCAATCTAGTTCAGTTCAACCAAAGGTTCAGACCATTTCTGTGCCACGTAAAGTAAAAAAACATGGAAACTTGGAATTTGAAATCTATTTATCACCCAAAGATCTTGTAGATTGCGTAAGCCCAATAATTATTGAAGGAGATGAGGAATCATTACCTAGCAGTGATGATATAGAAACAAAGCAGAAATCAGTGCAAGAGTTAAAAAGACATTTCAGTGATATGGAGAGTAAGAAAATGAAACCAGGTAGTGCATCTAGTCAAGATGCAAGTGAACATTCAGTACCTAGCAGTGAATCTGGTCAGAAAGTGCCTTTAGAGAAAACAAGCAATAAAAGTGGTAGTGAACCTTGTAGAACTACCTTGTTAAAAGCTGAAACCTATCATGCTGTATCTACTGATGCTAAAGTGAAAGAACCATTCAGTGGGCCCCATTCATCGGGACCAGCACCACAAGGTGCTGCAAATCCTGAAGGTAATGTTGGAAAGTTAGTGACTATTTCCAAACGTCCTCCAGGAAGAAGTGCCTCGGCTGATGCAATCACCCAAAAAGATTTGCAACAATTTGGGGAGTTGCATAAGTGGGATGATAGTCAGAAGTTAGATGAAATTCCTGACAAACTAGAAGCCAATTCTAAACAGAAAGATGATAAAACATCTGTTGTTTCACCTGCTTCTACCAGTGTTGAAACTGATCATTCCAGGAGCTCTAGTCGAGACTTCAATGCAAAGCCTAAACCATACACACCTGTTTCAGATACAGAAAATAAGGCTGTTGAAGGCCCTCCTCTTAAATCAGGTCAAGGTAGAGATTTCAACCCCAAACCAAGACCATACAAATCTATTTTTGAAGAACCTCAGCACATTCAGTCTAGCTCAAAGCGAGACCACACTGCTGTTGAGAAGTCATCTGGAAATATTGTAAAACGAGGAAATAATGTTGATATTTTGATTCTTGATCAAAACCGGCAGTCTGAAGATGCTTCAGTTATAGACACCCTCAGCAGTATCGAGAATCTAAACATCAGTCAGCAAGACATTGATAAAGCATTTGCTGATCCTCAGGCCTCTGTATCTGTTTTGAAAGATAAGTTTGAAGACATGTCTGTTGATGCCAATTTACGAGCTAAGCAGTTAGCATATACAACAGGTTCAGTATCCACACCAGAGCTTAGACCCACAGATCAGGCCCACAAACCAACACCTTCATCATCTTCATCCCATCAGCAGCCGTTCTCTTATACAAATCTAGCTGCACCAGTTGCTAGCGTTAAAGATGTTAGAAAACAGGGCGATAGGGGAGGTCTGAGTGATAGGGAAGATAGCTACAGTAGCCTTGCTAGACATAATAGCTGTCCATATATAGACAATAATAAGGAAAATGTTGGCATAGGGCCACCTGATGAAGTTATGGATGAAATTAGAGAAAAGGTCAGGAATAAAGAGAATAGGGAAGAGTGGAAATCAGAGAGTGCTCTTAGCTCATCGTCTCTACCACTTAACCCTGGGCAAACCTATATGTGGTTAGACCGTCTGGCAGATGAGATGGAACATACCAAAACACAGAAAAAGAAGTCTGCTTCATACTCGTCATTATCATCAGCAAAGAAGTCAGAAAGGAGCGCTGCTGAAAGAGTCAGAGCTAAAGCCAAACACAAAAGTATGGAAAAACCCAAAGGTTCTGATCCATTTAATGTATGCCTGCATGTCTCTCTGCTTTGTAATTTCCCATCTATTGTCGGCATATTCTGGCATTAACTTAAAATGTTTCTGTGGTTGTTTTGTGAGGTATATCATGGGTTTTGGATGTCAGTTTGTGTATTTTGTCTTGATATGGTATTTCTATGGTTGCTTTCCTTGCTCAGTTTTGCCTGCTAGGCTTCAAAGTGTTAGAATCCGATTCTTCAGAACATCAGAATGTTACCAAGTATTGTCACTTTAATTTGTATTTCCTATCGAACTATGCTTTGCAATCTGCAAACGAGAATGCAACATCATTTGCAAATAATCATATGATATTGAAAGTCACATGACTTGTGGAAGTTGTGTTGATTATATAAATTGACAGCTTGGTAATAGTTTGTATGTTCTGCTGCCATGGTGACAGGAAAGGAAAGGAAAATTGATTTTAGGTCATTGGAAAATCAAAAATTATTTATCAAAAGTGAAATAGTGTTAGTTATAATTCCTTATTTATGTAAATAAGAAACATACAATTTTGTTTTCCTTGCCTTGGATAAATTTTATCTGACTTTACTCTCTCTTAGGGGGTGTGGTTTAGAGGAAGCATGAACAGTACCACCTAGTTGTGTTTTCTTTTTAAGAGTTACAAATGAATGTTTGCCTAGAAAACCTTTCCATTCTTCCAAAATACATATACGGTAGTAATTTTTCTATTCGATACAGAAGTTAATTGTACCTGTTAATTGTGGTCAATATTTCCATGGTTACCTGTGATTCATAATCGGCTCTAGTGTCACCCCAGTAAAGTTGAGAAATGTGGATAATTACATGTGCAAGACAAAAAATAATTTCACTTGTTTAGTTAACCCATCTCAAAACTAAAAACTAACCTTATGTAGGTGTAAAAGCCAATTGAACGAAAAAAAAACTGAGACACAAAAACTTGTCAAAAATGTGACATTTTGTATATGTTTCAAAACTCAATTAGTGTATTTGTGAATAGTTACTATAGTAACAAGAGTCACCATTTGCATAATCCGTATATTCTCTGCTTGGAATAAACTACCGAAGAAACTGGTGTCTGAAATGAACAAATCAATGTGGTTTGTACACCCAATAACTGAAATTGTTGTCAGTCTCTGTGCAAAGGAATTACGTTTGTCATGCACATGTCTTTATTTTACCCAAACCTTTAAATTGAGTTCACCTTTACCTGTCCAAGGTTTTCACCTGTTTTGTGTTTCACTCATCAATTATTGTTGATACTAATACCTTGTTTGGCAAGTGCTAAAGAGTGTGCAATATTATTAATATACACACAGGTGACAACCGCTGACAATGGCATGAACCCCCTTAGGGTTGGTCCATTACTTCTGGTGGGAGGGCTATATTAGAATTGGAGATGAGAAATTTAAATTTGTGAATCTCTGCATCCAAAACTATATAAAAAAAACTGTAAAAATTTTGAGAAAAAAAACTGTAGAGAGAAGATATGTTCCTAGAAGCTGAATTAGAAATTATATGCAGTTCCCCTATTCCACTGTCCTCCCCGAGAAATAATGGCCCACCTAAGCCTCCAGTATTGTATATGCAAATTACATGCATCTATGTTGTGTAATCATATCACCATAACAACATCATCCACCACCATTAAATGCATCCCATAATACTAACTTCATAACAACTTGTTGATTTCACAGATAAATCCAGGAGTTACAAGCCAGCCAGTAGCATGACAGCTATAGATCAAGTTAATGGCAAGCAAAATGTCAAAGGTCAATAATAATTAACATTACATCCCATAATAATCATGTTTCACTCTCTTCATTGTAACCTTCACATGTTTAACATGCACTTTAATAATTAGCATCTGTGTGTTGATGTACAAGTTTTATATGCCTATAGAGAGAATGTCTATAATCCTCAACAAGAAATTTGACAGTACACTTACGTTTTAGGATATGTCCACTATTTTGCATGATTAAACCAAAATTGTAACCTGCATTGCATTTCTATGTGATTTGTTGAATTGTTTGCATCATTCGATCATTCACTATTGTTGCATTACTCGCCAATAAAGCGCAAGTATAAATATCACCTGGCAACTTCAGATTCACTGTCCATTTGTAGGTGTTGCCTGACAAAACATCAAAATAATTGTTCTAATTTCATATACTAGATGGGCATGTATTTCCTCAGTTTGTGGGAGCCACTAGTAT